CACTGTTTTCTGGGACTGATTCCTCGCTGCACGGGCAGCGAAAATGGCCACGCTATGGAGGATCTTCACTGGATGGTGAGTTTCAAGCCCATAGGAACGCATTAATCGGGTTTTAATGCATTTCTATTGGCTTTTTAATTTTGCTTTACCATGTTTTCGTTCATTTTGCTGGAATGAATTAACATCGTAATGCGAGGCACCACTGTACAGTCAAGGTCTTGAGGGCCCACTCAACCATTGCTGGTCTAGCTTGTGGAAGTCTGATGCTCTATGCAAGATACACCTCAATGCAGTTGGGGCTGGTAGGTGGGTATGTGTAAGAGACAGGAATGGCAAGGGTGGGCATGCTCCACGTTACATACCATATTTTTCCATGTATAAAACTATACTTTTTTCTAAAAGCTTTAGACTAAAAATTGAGGGTCGTCATCTTATACACTGAAAAATACGGTACATACGGTCCCATAGTGCTGTGCTGTGTAAATTTTGCAGTCCTAAGAGATACAACTGAGATTTGGTAGAAGCAGGGCAGAATCCATAGAAGAAAACACACATGTGAACACTAACGCCCATCCTGACAGTGTGGATGAAGGGCAGGAGAGAAGGAAGCATGAACTCATTCCACTCCAACCATTTTGAGTAGAACCAATGACATGTGCCTCCAGTTCAGCAGAACTGGCAAACAGAAGTGGGTGCACAAACCTTCACTGTTTCACACGCTTGTTGAAGTTCAGATCCTCTCAGTGAAACTTGCGTACACATAATTTTCACAATTTCTTATAGTATTTTACAGCCAAGGCTCAGAATGTATCTACATTACACAGCAATATTGGTTTTATATCCATTTATCAGTCACAGTTCCATTCTATAGAACCCTGGGATCTTTAGTTTGTTGACGGACTTAGAATTCTCTGCTAGAGAGCTCATGTTTCCCCAACCTAGAACACAGAATTCTAAGCAGAAACTACAACTCCCAGCATTCCATAGGATGGAGTCATGAGAATTAAAGTGACATTAAACTAACATAACTGCACAACTAGATGGACACTCCCTGTGGTTCAGATTTACTGCCAGGGACTCTCAGCCAGCCAAACATAAAGACCTGCAGGATCAACCTCCTTTGCTTAATTCCAACCCATCCACTGCCTGGAAGAAAACTCTAAAGGTCTTACCAGGACATTGCCAAGCCCTTCGTAATCAAACACTTTGTTTTCATACATATCGGCCAGCTCCTTGCTCAGCTGGATGGCTTTCTCCCACATCTCCAGGAAACACAAAAAGGGGAGGGGAAAAAAAACATTTTTTTAGCAGATGCAGCTTAAAACACACATCATTATATGGTGTCAAGTCAATTTTGACTTAAGGCAACGCTTTTCAGGATTTCCAGGTACAAAGTCTTCAGAAGTGGTTTCCCATTCTCTTCTTTTGGGGGCACCCTGGGACTTTTTCTCCCATCAAAGCCACAGAAATGGCTCAAGGACTGTTGCATAAACAACAACAGGATCTTGAGGCATCTCAAAGACCTAACCAATCAAAGACTGCTGTAACCTTCTTCATCAGTTTCATCTGACAAAGTGAGCTGTAGTCCAAGAAAGTGTATGCCAGCTAAGAGAGAAACATCAGGCCCTAAAGCAGGATCTGGCTCTTTGGGCTTCCCTTTCTCTCATGTTATATCCTTCTCTTCCTCCTCCTCATTATCATCATCATAACTGCAGAGCTGGAAGGGACCCTATGGATCAGCGAGTCCAGCCCATCAAGGAGCCGCAGTGGGGAATCAAATTCCCGACCTCCGGCTCCTTAGCCAGAAACTCAAATCACTGAGCAGTCCAGCAGTTCTCATTATGCAGTAATTTTCCAACTCTTGCTGAAATTGCTCAGTTCCTGGCAACATGAGCTTTATGCTACAAATAGGCTCAGATTCTGAGCCTCACCCCCGCCCACCCCCGAGAACTCCCCTGAAATGAAATTCAACCCTTTGGCTCAAACAAGTTGCGCAATCTTACTTTTGAGCAGATCACTGTAAACAATCATGAAGGAAATGACACATGCTGTATCAAATGCTATTAAGAGAGGCAAGGCTGCCAGCTGAAACATATAGCTGCAGAAACAGAAAGCAGAACTTGCTTTATGGGAATCATCCCTCTTACATCCCGCCGCTTCTGAAGGCGCCTCAGACAGACATAGACTCACTTTGCCTTTGTCCAAGAAAGCAATGATCTCTTGATACAGTTTCTCCTTGAGCTCCAGCTGTGAGTACACACAGTAGCTGTCCCTCTGGAGCAGATGGGGAGTGCACGGCTTATCCGACCACTACCGTAAAGGGAAAGAGCAACAAGGTGAAGTTCTTTATAAGCTAACTTCTCAAAGCTTTAGGTGAGGCCTCATCATCATCAATAGGTGTGGGATGGTTTTAAAAAGTCTCTTACTTTCATTGGTCTGGTCTCTCCATGCACCAGACTCCAGCAGAAGGGCGATAGGATTGGGAGCGGGGCAGGTTTCCTGGCTAGTCTTTGATGCAGACAGTTTTGTCACACGCCAAGCTGCTAGAACTTTGTTTATACAAGTACAGGTTCCAAAACGATGTGCTGTTCTTCAACAATGCACAAAATCATGGCCAAAATCCTGTTGCTAAGTGCAGTAAATTGCACTAGGGCAAGTCCGTTGAATCAGTGAGGATTTGGTGAGTAATCACCTCCATATGTTCCATGGACTCAAACGGGCCAGCAGGAACTCTTGCTTACGTCAACACAGTAAATTGCAATTAGAATAGATCTAATTGAATCCATGACACCTATGGAGAAGTTGGCTAAATCCCAATTGATTCAATGGGCTTAATCAAGGTCACTTACTACACTAAGCAACAGGATTTTGGCCAATGAAGCAGCTGTTGTGGGGGACAAGGAGACATGATTTTTGATTCATCTACTTACTGGTTATTATTATTATTAAAACATCTATATCAATTCAACTTAGGCAATGGTATAGCCAATACAGTTTACAAGAGGATCATTATAATCATCATCTTGGAACTACAGAGCTGGAAGGGACCCTATGGATTCACAAATCCAGCCCCTGTCAGGGAGACACAGTGAGGAACTGAATGCCTCTGACTCTGCTCCCAGATGCCTAAACCACTGAGCTACGCAACAGTTCTCATAAATGGTGGAAACCCACAAACTCTTGTCTGCAAAGGCTAGGTGAAGCAGTTCTACAGTGTACGCTTCCCCAATGTGCCTCTTGGATCCCCTCCTGGTTATCCATACCATAAAAACATCCAGACTTGACTACTGCAATGCATTGCTGGTGGAGCGGCTCTTGAATCCCTCTTCCACTCACCTGGAGTAACTCCGCATGAAGAAGGAGTGTGTATGCTGCCTCAGTATAGTTTTCGGAGCCTGTGTGCAAGTCCCGGAGTTTATACAAGTACCTAGAAGAACAACAACACACAATGATTACTGTGGAGTTTCAAGTATAGAAACATCTCAAATATTGTATTAGTGGCTTTAAGGCAAAATCCTTTACAGATCCAAGACTCAAAACCAAAAGCAGTGGCAAAGGTCCTATGGCTTACCTGATGTATATATCTTCTCTCTTCTTTTCTTTATAAAAATTCTGCAAAAGATAAGCCATTTTGTAACTGTTTCCCCAGCCACAACAGAATAAATTCTCTCTAGGGAGAATACAGCTCAATTTACATGAGCACAGACTAGGAAGTGGGATGTGTGATAGTGCTTCCTGGGGGAAGACTAAGTTGGTCTTGGATATCTGGTTGTTGATCCCTAATATGGTATTCTCTATCTTGGCACAGAAACTACTTTATAGTCTTCCTTCCATAGTGAGGAACAGGAGCTCCATTCATCACCATCAATGGAAGAATTGGTTGTTGTAGGTTTTTCCAGGTGTTTGACCATGTTCTGGAGGTTTTTCTTCCTAATGTTTCACCAGTCTCTGTGGCCAGCATCTTCAGAGGACAGGAGCTAGAACTCTGTCTCTGTTCTGGTGACAGTTCTAACTCCTGTCCTCTGAAGATGCCGGCCACAGAGACCGGCAAAACGTTAGGAAGAAAAACCTCCAGAACACAGCCAAACAGCCCGAAAAACCTACAACAACCATCGGATCCCGGCTGTGAAAGCCTTCGAGAATACAATGGAAGAATGATCAAACAGCATCAACCAAGGAAAGTGGAATTTCTAGGACCTCCTTGTATCCACATGATCAACTGTTTTTGGAGAGAGCTTGAGAAGAATAATTTTGGGGGTTATGACTCCCAGAATTAAGTGGTGAAGCTGGAAGAGGGATTTTTGGTATTGTAGTCCCACCAAAGTGACTGTTATGAGACCTAGTTTCAGGCTCTGACTATATCACACCTCTGGAGTGTCAGGTATAGCACTACAGAAACCAGTTTCTTTGTTTTAACTTTTATTATGGAATAAAAGCATAACCAAAAAAGCATTCAACACACTGCATGCACAATGTCCATGACAGTGAAGTCAAGCTGAAGAATGGGCTCCACTCAAGGAGAATCCATTGACAGAGCATATAGAGATGAGTTATACAGAGTCTTTCCAGAACTTCAGGCAGTTGTGATACAGCATCTGAGTCAGACTTGATAACAGAGGAATGCAAGCCAGTTTTGACCGACAGGCCACCTACCAGAACATTGACAGTGCAACTCATTCGGTTTTCTTTGCTCCCGTCGTGCATGGTGGCCCGGTAATCCAAGAGATTTTCCAGCAGGCTGCTAACCAACAGGACAAACACTTCCCCAGAGCTTGAAAGATATTTGTGCTTCCTACAGTGTTCCAGCAAGCTAGAGGCAGGAGTGTTGGAAGAAACATAAAAAGAGATGTTTGGATAAAGAGAGAAAGAGAACCAAACCAGATGCTTAGAAATGAGGTCATCTGCGCTCTCTCGCTCTCTCTCTCTCTCTCTCTCTCTCTCTCACACACACACACACACACACACACACACACACACAAAATTGTAGATTCCAAAATGCAGAAGTTACAGTGTGTAGTGTAAAAGAAGGAATGGGACACTCTGCTATGTGACTAGAGCTTGCAAAAGTTACTTCATTGTGTTCTATTTCCCAGAATATCCCAGCAAGCACGGAGACTGGCCATATTGACTCTGGGTATTTTGGTACAAAAAAGTAACTTTTCTAAGCTTTGAATCAGCCTTTTGCGGATACAGTCATTCATGCAACCTTATTTTACACATAGCTGCACATGCGATTTTGGAATCCAACTAGAGATGGGCACAAGCCACTGAACCAGCCGGTTCACTCTTCAGCGGAAGAAGTATTTGGCGTTTCCCAGCCCAGCCTCTTCTGGCAGGCAACCACTCAGAGGCAGTGACCAGGCTTCCTTGTCCCACCTCCTCTGGCCACTGCCTATGTGTGGGCGTCCACTGGCCTCTTCTGGCAGGCAACCACTCAGAGGCCACCTGGCTTCCTTGTCCCGCCTCCTCTGGCCACTGCCCCTGTGTGGGCGCCCACTGGAGGAGGCGGGACTGGGAAGCACCGAACACCTGTTTGGCCGAAGGGCAAATCAGCGTAAGCCACCAGTTCAGCGGTTTGCACCTCTTCTGGCAGGCAACCACTCAGAGGCCACCTGGCTTCCTTGTCCCGCCTCCTCTGGCCACTGCCCCTGTGTGGGCGCCCACTGGAGGAGGCGGGACTGGGAAGCACCGAACACCTGTTTGGCCGAAGGGCAAATCAGCGTAAGCCACCAGTTCAGCGGTTTGCACCCATCTCCGAAGCACCAAACACCTGTTTGGCTGAAGGGCAAATCAGCATAAGCCACCAGTTCAGCACTTCGCGCCCATCTCCAGACCTAACGTGTTGATCTTGATTTTACTCATCTTCTCTCAAGAGCTGGGAATAGGAGAGAAGAACTGATATAATAGAGCTGACCTTTACCATTAGAGACAAACAATAAATTAAAAATGTCATACTGTCTGGATCAGTAATTGAAACCAGAATCCACAAATTTGCAAACTGAGTTGGGTTTTTGTTTTTACTACATCTTACAGCAAGCAATGGAAGAGAAGTACTGTATTTTTCCGTGTATAAGATGCCCCCATGTATAAGACGTGCCCCCCCCCCACTTTTCTAATCCAAAATTAAGAAAAATAAGTGGGGCTTAGCAAGTGTAGGGAGAAAAGGATCAAAGCGCTGCAGGATCACTTTGATCCCTGCTTTCCCCTCCACTTGTTTTTGTTCTCTCCTCAGCTTACTTCTGTGTATAAGATGAGCCTCAAGTTTTAGTCTAAAGATTTTAGACAAAAGTATAGTCTTATACATGGAAAAATAGGTAATTTAGACTTAAGTTCAACTTTAAATTTAGACTAGCCCTCCCACTAGAGGGCTGTCTAGTGTCAGGGCTGATCAAAGTCTTCTTTGTCTTTGGGAGGTGGCAGAGGACTGGAGAGGAGCACACGGGAGAGTGGGTAAAGCATGCGATCAGCATAGCTTGGGCAACAGTGGCAGTGATGGAGTGGCATATCTAGAACCTTCATATTCAGAGGCTCTCCTGCTACACCCACATCATGCCTCCATGGATCTATTGTCCCCACCCGCACCCCGAAAATGTCACAGCTATAGTAGAGAAATGGTGAAGCATGGAGAGAGATCTGCAGGGACAAGGAAAGTCCAAGATCACATCTCCCCCTAAAGTGACATCTCCAACTTCAGAGGGTGACTTGTATCTAGTCTTATGACTCCTAAGATGTCATCTCAAAGACTACAGAATAAAGTATGTCCCTGATCAATCAACGTGGCAGGAATCCAGTTGGGAGCTGCAAATAGAGTAGACCTATTGAATCACGGAGATTTACCCAAGTGTTTACTCACCTGTCAGAAACTGATTCAATAGGTTTATTTTAATTAGTTCTAACAATAGGATATAGACCATTATACCGTGGTGCCTCGCTAGACGATTGCCTCGTGGGATGAAAAACCCGCTAAATTCACAATCACAAGTTATGGAAAAAGGCGTTCTAAAAACAAGAGCCGCTTAAAGACCAACAGATTCAGCGGTGCCTCGCAAGACGAATGTCTCGTGGGATGAAAAACCCGCAAGACAATTGTTTTTTGCGATCACTATGGTGCCTCGCAAGACTTTTTTTCTATGACCGTGCTTTGCAAGACTTTTTTTTGAGATGGATGCATAGGGAATCTCGCAAGGCGATTTTTTCACAAGACAACAATTTTCGCGGAACGAATTGAAATTGTCTTGCGAGGCACCACTGTATATGAATGGCACACAGACGCACATGCACCAGAGTCTTCCATTTGTACTTATGTGTTATCTCACTAGTTCTTCTGTATTTAATACACACACACACACACACACATACAGAGAGAGAGAGAGAGAAAGAAGCAGCAGCAGCAAAGGCAGAAAAACTACATCATGTCTTTCAACTGCCAGATGTAAGATTGGCATTTTTTGAAAGCACTCCCCCCCTCTTCCATGCTTGCCTGAGAAACATGTAAAAAAAATCATTTTACTACAACTTTACAACATTACTTGCTTATAAAACAAAAGATGGGTGTCAAGATTACACTGGCTGAAATCCTGCTGCTTTTTAAGTCACAACTAGAGTAAACCTACTGAATCAATGGGGATTTGGTGAGTCAGCTCCTACATGGGTTCCATCAATTCAATGGGCCTACTCTATGCGATGCAACAGGATTTCAGCTGTTATGAAAAATGTTTCCAAAACGGTGATCAAGAACACTCACACACTTACAGTTTCTCCAGCAAAATCTTGTACTGTTCATCGCCTCGACCCCCTTCCACTTCCTGATCTAATTTAGTTATCAGCTCATCTTCAAACTGTAAATTGGAGGCCAAAACAATCAAATAAAATGTCAATCCAGGGTGCTTCTAATGAAGCTTTCAGCAGTAAAAAAGATCAACACAAAGGACATTTCTGACCTTTCTGGATTATTTATTTATTTATTTATTTATTTATTTATTTATTTATTTATTTA